GGATGCTTTTCTCAACTGAAAGCAGAAACTACTTAGCGATGAAGTAATTAAATCACGCTGTTCATGAAAAGCCCTCGCTGTTAATTTATGGTATTTGTCATAGCTCCCAGAATACAATCATGGAAACAAAGACTGAATTGAGAACAAAAGGAGGGAACTTATTTGAAAAATTTAAATATCAAACAAGTTTCATAACAATTTGAAATGTGTCTGCTTGTTTTAATTGGTTTTAAGGAACCCACTCCAATGTTCTTGGTGCATACAGAGAAGCTGAGCATTTTCTGATTTTCATTCTTTTTGCAAGCTCATTGCTCAAGAATAGGATAACAGTTTTACCACAATTAAGAGCCCTATGAGATAAAGGGAATCTTGATATTCTCTCTGTTTGGTACAAGTTTTGAAAACCTTATTCTTTTTCTCCTGTAGCCGACACAGAATATAAGAAAGGCTAAGAAAAGGTGAAGGTAGACTCAGCCTCAGAAATGTTAAAATAAGTTTGAAACCAGGAAATCCAACAGAAAGCTCTCACAAACTTAATGCAACTAACTATATTTTGTGACTAGGGAATTGAAACTTGTATAAAGCCTTGTAAAATACAGTAAAGAAAAAAGTGCATTCACATCATGTAACTTCTGCCTTCAGCATGAATAATAAAAGGTTGTTTTATTTTAGCAGAGTTGCTTGTCATTAATTTTATCATTTTTCAGGTAGTAATATTAAACTTCTATTAAGTATTAAAGCAAATAATACTGGTGTAAATTTTATTTTAAGTTTCTCAATTTGTTTGACTATCTTCTCTTTGCAGGAGCCTTATCCTTCTCGAATAAGACCTGAAAGTGGTCCACAAGCAGGTGGAACTACACTTACCATCAGTGGTACAAACCTGGCCACTGGTTCCAAGAAGGATGTTCAAGTTTCAGTCGGTAGCCAGCCTTGCAATGTGTACGTAGCCTGAGTAACTATACAGAGCTGTATCCTAACAAGCCACCAACCTTTTCTGGCCTTTGAAAATTAAACAAATCTTATATCTATCTCTTCATGACTCATCCCATGCAATGGAGTTCTGCATATAACATTCAGACAGAAACTCTCTCAGAGGCTCCAGCTGAAAGAAGCAGCTATAAAACACCCAAAGTGGGAGAATTTCACTATCTGAAGATTTCTCCATTTTTGGTTTTCTGTACTTAACTGGCTGCTTCAAACCCACCCATGCTTTCACTCAGCATCTCCTCAGTGATTCTGTATAAAATCTTAATCTTCTAGTGCCCCTTGGCTTGTTCTTCTCCCTTCTCTTTCTTTTATTAACTGCTGCCCTTCTCTTTCCTCAAAAAAACAATGGAAGGGCACTAAGTGTGCTGGCATTGCATCGTTCCTGTGTTTGTACACTATTCATTGACATATCCTGCATATTTTTTACAAAGCCTAAGTGATCTGAACAAAGTGTTGTCTCCTCTCGTAACTACTTAGTACCTAGCAAAAATAGAGCCCTGGTTTTGTTGTTTCTGGGGTGCTGCAGTAAAAATAAACAAACCTCTGTAATGTCAGTAACAGAAGATGTTTCCTCTTCTTTTTTTCTCCAACCTAGCACTGAATTTGGAGATGAGATTGTTTGCATTACAGGACCTAATAACAAGGTTGAAGCTGTTTCAGTCACAATGAACTATGGGGGCACGATGATTAGTGTACCACAGCTATTTACATACAGTGAGAATCCTACTGTCACCAAATTTCTGCCAGTAAATAGCTTCAGCAGGTAAAGAAATGTTTGCCATTACTTCATTTACAATTGGGTTAAAATATGTGTTATATGTAATAAACCTATTACATATAGAACTGCTTGAAATAAAAACTTGTGTACACATTTAGGGACACATGGTTTGTGAATTTAACCATGGTTATTTTTGAAATTGTTCTGTTTACCTCCAAATTTTTGTCCTGTCTCAAAGGTAAATCCTGAAACCATAAAAGGTAATGAACTTCTTTTAAATGAAGATGTCTCAAAGAAAGAGATTTGAAGCATTTCAGCATGATGTCAGACAACATGATCTTTGCCTTACTTACAAACCTTTATCCTACGAGGATAACCTATATAAAAAATTTCTAATGGAAATGTTTCTAACAGGTTTTTTTATTCAGCTTTTAATAAGTGTACTGGAAAGAGAGGAATGTTATAGTTTGTCATCTCTTTCTTTGTCTCACTAGGAAATAAAAGTATCTTTTTAGGAAATCTAGACCAGGGTTTAGAATATGTTTGGAAGGATGTTTAGAATGCTTTTAGAAGGTATGCTCTGTTCTATGGTGGTACTCACTAATACCTCATCTGGTAGCCTTTACTTCTGGAATAAATCTCACCTAGTACTAGTTGGGAAACCAAAGAAATGTGTGCAAATTGTCTGTATAGAAGCCATTGTACCACATCTCTGGTTTTGAAAGTCATTCTGTGACCAATACAGGGACAAACATTACCCTGATTCTTTCTTGTTCCCCAGTATTCTGGTATTTCTGCTTAGTGGGGTGCAGTTGGCAGAGGGAGATCACAATGTTTCCACTTTCTTTCAGTAAAAAGAAGTGTAACATCATCACCTGACAAACAGAACATTAAAAATAAAATTGGCCATGACTTCTCTTGGAGATATTAGTACCTGTCTCCTTGAATATTGAGTAGTCACTTGTATAAAATTGGATTTGTTTTCAATATTTGCTTTTCATTTTTGATTTGGCTGATTTTGGGGCCTGGAAGGTTTCTTTGGTAGATCAGTAGTGATTTACCCCATGGAATTTTAAAGACTTCTTTTTTCCTCTATATAAGCCTTAGCCTACTTTTATGAATTGCTTTGAGGTTTGCTATCCCTCTAAATCCATATTACTTCGATGACTTTAATTCCCACTGGCAACTTGCATGCATTCTTGTTCTTATGTGAATGTATTATTTTTTAAACAATGTATTGCAAATGAAAGGGAATAGAGAAACCAGGTCCCTACAGAATTGTGGAAAATACACTGTCACCTTTGTCTCTGTGTGTGCATGGTAGGTGGAGTGATTTTAACAATAACATTGGAGAAGTAAAGCACATGAAGATTGACAGCAATGAAAAGCCAAAAATACTGGAAAAGCAATTTGTTCCTTTTTTTAATTCTTCTGTTTTAAAATTAATTTTAAGTTGACATTGCTGCCTTTAAATGCATTGACAGCTTTAACAGAAGTTCTTTTTGTAGAGTATCTGATTGTCATATAGGTTTTATATATAGCTTTTTTCAGTGGAAGTAGTAGCACTTCAGGATAGAGCAGTCTGTAGCTGTGGTAGTTTGCCAATTACTTGACTTCTTTTATAATTCTGCCTTTCAGTGGAGGGAGAAATATTACAGTAACTGGAACCGGTTTTGAACTTATCCAGAGTTTCTCATTGGTGGTATATGCAGAGCGTCCAGAAGCAGGGAAGATGAATCTCAAAAAGGTAATTTTGTTTCTTTCCCCACAAAGGCATCACACTGTATGCACAACATACAATCTGTTCAAAACTTGCATTTAAGTTGCCCACTGGACTTCACTGGGCTTGGAGTGGAATAAGGTTTGAACAGATTTCTGGGTCTGTTTAGGGTTTCTGTGGAAGAAGATCTTCACTTTCCCACCATCTTGACTTACATTCACTTGAACCTTACCATCGTCTGTTTTAAAATTATTTTCATTCAGTACAAATGAGGATAGAAGAATTAAGCTTTGAGTGATAAACTGGATGTATTTCAGAATTTAAAAGTGTTTATTTTATTTTTCTTTATCTTTCTCCTTATTCTTCCCCCTGCAAGCTTTAGAGATTTGCCGGAAACAGGACTCAAATCCACACAATGCAGAGTACTCAGCTTTGCAGTCAGTGCCTTTTATTTTCTCACATCTCAATGAACCGAGTCTTGTTTCATTTCTTGCTTCATGCATATTCCACCTGTAGTAAGTTCACAAAAAAGGTTGAGAAAAATAACATTAAGAAAACATCTTCTTGCATCTCATGTTAAGGGGAACTGACATTACCGATAGTCGTAATTTCCCATTCTTCTAATGAAGTTCACAATTCAGTGACATGATTTAGGACTTAAAAGTGGTCTTCCAGTAAGAACATTTTAAGACTTTTCCTAATGCTGGATCTTCAGTTTAAGACTATCTTGTGATCTATATAGAGTTGGTAATGTGCATGGTTTTTTTATTACATGCATGATTCAACTCTTAGAGTATGCCAAAGCCAGCTAGATTTGGGTCCATTAGAACCCTATCCTTAAAGATTTTTAAGAGGAAAACTGCCTACATCTGTTAACCCATAAACTACAAGAGGTAATTATCTTGATAACCTTGACTTCCAGAACAATCTAAAAGTCTATTTAGCATTCTTGACAGTGTTTATCAATATTTCTTACCCCTCTTCTTATGTATGCTTATCATACACTCTCAGCCCCTTAGCTTAAGTCAGCATTACATACAGCACACATTCTTGGTTAAGAGTAAAAGCTTTTCTGATCTTTTGTTTTGCTTTCACATATATGGCAATGTCAGAAACATTGGGGAGAAGCTATCGAATTGCATTGAGTCTCAAAGTGAGAAATGGATGTGGTGATAGAATAAATGTTGAGGCTTCCTATTAGTAGTGTTGACTGTGGTTGATGTTACTGAATGACAGAAAGAGTGAAAAAAAGTGGGAATGGAGGACAGGTGAACTGAGTTGCTACCTTGAGTAGCTGATTGACAATGAGTAAATTTTATTCTGAAATTTCACTTAGTAATCATATTGGATTTCAATGAGGTATTTTACAGTGTAAATAGAAAATAATCTACCCAAGATACTTCATGGTACAGAAGACAATCTGGATTAAAGGTGACATGTTACTTCTTAATCTAAGAGGAACTTATTGGTATCAGTCCAGTGTGGTAAAGATCCATAGAATCTGGAGGCAATGGAAACTGATCTGTAGCCTAAGCTTTTTCTGCAGGCAGCTGGCAGAACATCAATGATTTATTCCCATCAAGAAATTTGTTTCATTTCTTTTCAGAAAATACCTCATACAATGTTATTTCTGCTGTATGGAGAGGATATAAATCCAGTGCTTTTATTTCCACAATCTAGAGTTATCAGCAGTTATGTACAGGAAAATGTCAGACTCTAAAATGTGCATGTTCTTCTTGTTTCTTACAGTTTTATGGAAAGGTTGTTGACAGACTCAATGAAACCACAGTGGTTTTTTCTTCCCCACCAATACTGGAAGACCCAGAAAACTATAACATTACCACTATTATTCTAATGGATCATTATCATTTAGTTGTAAAGAACGAGAGTCACTCCTTTGCCTATGTTGCAGACCCAACCTTTGAAAACTTCACAGATGGCATCAAAAAACAAGTCAACAAACTTATTAATGCAAAGGTAAACTTTTCAAAAGTTGGTGGTTATTCATTTTGTCCTGGAAGCATGTATGGAATTTTTCCTTCCTTCCTCAAAGCCTTAACAGCTGTTTGGTGCCACACCTCAAATTATTGGTAGAGTCCCTTACCTCTGCTACATGATGAACACTGACAGCTCCCCTTCCTCCCCCCATCCCTTCTCAGAGGGATTTGCTATCTTTTTAGCCCTACTTTGGGTTCCCCAGGGATTCCACCTCCTGCTGAGCATGGCATTTGGAAATGGCCTTTCCCAGTAGAGCTTCCAGGGACTGGAAGGGACATCTCATCTCACACCAAGAAGGAAAAGAGGGGAATCACATAATTCCCAATGGCTCTGCTGTTCTGTAAATCACATCTACTGCTAAAAGTGATCAAACTGGAAAGTTGCAGCTCAGGATTTCTTGTGTCCCAAGACTTTGCAGTGATGACTTAACCCTTTATTTTCTGTCTAGGGCAGTAACCTGAACAAAGCCATGACAATTGATGAGGCCCAGGCTTTTGTTGGTGATGAGCCTTGCAACATAAAAACTCTGACTGAAACGGACTTATATTGTGAGCCACCAGAAGTACAGCCTCAACCAAAGAAACGGCAGAAGAGAGATACCATCAATAACCTTCCTGAATTCATTGTAGGTTACCTTTTCTATAGAGTTTAGTATCATGTGTAAGTGATGCTGATTCAGTGCTTCTTTACTGAAGTAATTTGTTCTCCAAAGTTGTTGTAGTACTGCGAAGAAACTCCTTGCAGTTCTTTCTTCCTCCAGCTGCTGCCTGCTGCATAAAGGATGTCACACATAAAGACTGGTCCTAAGCTGCCAAATGCCTTCTACCTTCGTTACATGGGAATGTAAAACTGTAGCTAGACAGGCTGGGGATTTTTCTTCCTCTGCTGAGCAAAATTAAATTACTTCATGGAATAAAGTGCTAGTGACCCAAATTCAGTATAAAATATTCAGAAATGTTTGCTTTGGTTGGCAGTTTGAGCTAGAGATTCACTTGTGGGAATTACTAAGAATTTAGAGTGCAGCTGAGAAGTGGATCACCATCCTTTTGCACTTTTTGAGACAAATGTCTGTGCTTATCTAATTAGGTGAAATTTGGACTCCGGGAATGGATCCTCGGAAGGGTGGAATATGATACACGTGTGACTGATATCCCACTGAATCTTATTTTGCCGCTGGTACTTATTCCTATGATAGCAATCATCATCATTTCTATCATCTGTTACAGGTAAGTTCCTTTAATTAGGCGCTTTTGTTGCCCTAAAGCTTTCAAGGTACTACCTGATTGTTTGCAGTTCAGTCTACAGAAATTGTCTTCATCTTTTTTATGAGCTGCAGAGTTAAGAAAGGGAGTTACAGCTGGAAATATGTATGAGCACCAATTTATTCCTCTCATGCACACGAAATTCCTTGGTGTCAGTCAGCCCAGTCCGTCCTTTATATAAATGCAACAATTGGTCCCAGGCTTCCCAAGCACAATTGCAGACTGAGTTGCGCACAAACATTTTTGAAATGGCAGCTAAAGAGCCACTTGTGAATGAGATACTTTATTCTGTATACATGCCCATCAGCAATTATGCTGCCTCAGTCAGCATCATAGGTCTGAGCTGGATGGATTTGGCTGAGGGTCATTTTGGCCTTTCCAGCTGAGATAAGTGTTACCCACACACAAATGTCACAATTAACAGTGAAATTCATGTTTCATAAAGGGCCAGAACAATGTCTGTATTTCACTTAAGACCTACTTAGTCCAACTTTAAGGTTAGGATTGAGTGTTTCATGCTGTCTCTCAGGAGAGGGTGGATTTCACTGTTTTGAAACATACCAATACAGCTGAAACATGTGCTGTACAGCCCTGATGTTCTCATGGACCTCAGTCAACCTTCTCAGTTCAATCCCAGAGACACTCCTGGGTGGCTTACAGCCTGTACAGGACGTGTTGAAAGGAATCTTTGTACAGTGCAGACCAATTGAGTTTTTGTACTTAATATGTGATTGGAAGTATTTGTAGCTACTTCTTACTGGATTTTAAATTGCTGGCCCCAGTGTGCATTGAAACAGCCAGCCCAAGATGGTGCCAGGTTGATTTACATGGAATGAAGACTTCTGCCACTTGTTGCTGTTTTCCTCCTGCATTCTCATTCTGCTGTATTTAAAAAAAACACATTAAAGCCAGGAAAATTTCCTCCAGTCCTTCGGCTTCCCTCTCAGAGCTATTGCAAATTACTGACTTTTGCAGTTTGTAACTTTTTTAAAATCTTCCCTCTATTCCATAAAGACGCAAGAGCCAACAAGCAGAACGAGAGTATGAAAAAATTAAATCACAACTTGAAGGCCTGGAGGAGAGTGTCAGAGACCGGTGCAAGAAGGAATTCACAGGTATGACAGATGTTTTCACTCCTGTGGGTCCTCTTAAGCAATCTGAAGACAGGCTGGAGGAATGGTGCTAGCTTGCTAAAACTGTCTTCTGGGAACAAATAATTAGTAATCACAGTAGTCTTCATTACTCACTTTGACATACAGCAGATACTTTGCTATTATATGTGAAAGAAGTAAATAAAATAGCTGAGGTATTAAAGGAAATGGATAGTTTTAGTCTAAAGGAATTTCAGAGTCAGAAACTGGGAGTAGAAACTAGTTGAGATTGAGGTTACTTATAGCCATTAATGTGAGTGACCATTAATATGAAGATAAGAATGTATTATAGTGACTAACCATATGCTTAGCATTTAGCATAGTGACTGTATGTGCACAGTATGCACATTAAGAACTGTTTTCAGAGCTGCAAAATTTATTTGCAGCAATCAGAACACAAAGGGATAATTTGGTAAGCTCACAGGAAAGAAACAGCATTTTTCCCTGTTTATCACAGGAAAATCTTGAACTTGATTTGAGGAGCTAGCTAATTGTTCTGTGTAAATGTAGAGGCATCATCCTAGGGAAGGCAGTGGGAGGTGTGAAGCCTCAGCATTTTTACATGTTGAACTACTCATTGCAATGCTTAAATTAGGCATCTGAGTGCAGACATTGCAAATATTGGCCTAAATGATTACCATTAAATATCACCTCATTATCTGAATAATACTTGCTGTTGGATCATGTTGAAATAATCTCTATTTTAACAAAATACCCGTTTGTTTTACTTCTAAAGAGAAAACATTATTGGCAATGGCTAAAAAGCAGGATTGAAAAAAACAGCAATTTCAGGTTAGTGTTTGAAATTAAAGAAGCTCAGGGTATCTCAAAGATTTCAGCCATGTTGAAAGCCTCCCCCAGCCTTGTTTTTCTGTCTTTTCTGGGACAGGATATTATTTTCCTGTACCAGCTTGCTTTCTCTGGAAAAACAGCTCTTTCCAGGTTCTGGATACAAACTAGAAGCAAATGTTTGAATCAAGAACTGTTCCCAAATGGGCTTCCTTTCAAACTGCATTTTGAACAGTGAGAGGATCGATCAAGGTCCTCCTTCCCTCTTGCCAGCTCTCCCATGGAACTTCGTACCTGTTTCTGAGAGGAGCAAGTGCCTTTCTCTTATTGACATTCCTAGTAGGGGGCTACAGATGTCAACTGTGTGTTAGGTTGAAGGTTTCCTCTCTATTCCACAAAATACAAACACTGGGGAAGTAGAGTGCACATCCAAGGAGTAATTCAGTTCCTAAACTACATCCAATTTGACTGACAGGTAAATGAAACATTGAAGTCAAAATACATTCTGGTTCCATACTATGAAACTGTAATATCAATAGCACAAAGTGCAGACAGTCTTAAAATACACAGGACCAAAGATAGCCAAGGAAAGGGACATCAGGAAGTACAAATACCACAGAAATGGAAACCACAAGATGTTCTCTCCCTCAGCTTTGCTGAATGCTATAAAATAAAGAGGTAAATGAATGAATAAGAGCAATGAAACTTCTGAGACAATAGGTCATTTTATTAATTAACATGGTATTCTAGTCAATCAGCAACACTGACTGATTGGAAACCCTACAGCTAGAATAGCTGCTCCAAGGGATGTTTCCCTAAATTTTGTCCCTTTTAAGAACTTCAGAGCTTTTGACTCCCACAGAAATGTTTCCATCAATTTCAATGAACCATTTATCTTTCCTCCTTCCTGCAATCCCCTTCCTTCCAATTAAATTAGTGTGCTTTACACTTTAGACCTTTCTTTCCTTGATTGCTCTGTTTTTAAAAGAACTTTCATTACTACCTAGACTCAGAGGGTGTAGAATGTGGAATGGAGGAGGAAAAAAAAAGAATATTTCAGTGCCTTTTTTTGTTTCTGTACTACAATCCTACATTCATATATATGAACTCACACAGACACCCATTAAAGTCATTTTTCAAATAGGAAACAAGAAGGAAACAATTTATGCTAAAGGGAGTTATCTTAATGTCACTGTAGGATTAACTGTGGTCATAGTTAACAGGATAATTGGTAAAAATAGCAAGAGAAAATGTGAGATGAAGTAAGAGTTTTTGGTGTTAAGTTGCTTTTTCTCTATTACAAGTCACCCAAAGAGATTGTGCTGCCTGCAGGCTTTTCAAAATCAGCCTATTAAATGCATTGCATATTGCAGATCTAATGATAGAGATGGAGGATCAGACAAATGATATCAATGAAGCTGGAATCCCAGTACTGGACTACAAAACCTACACAGACAGAGTCTTCTTCTTGCCCTCCAAAGATGGAGAGAAAGATGTGATGATTACAGGGAAGCTGGATATTCCCGAGGCCAGGCGCCAGACTGTGGAGCAGGCTTTGTACCAGTTCTCCAACCTCCTCAACAGCAAATCTTTCCTCATTAATGTGAGTACTGAAGTCACCTTGTCTCTTAGCTAGGCATATCTGTGTGTGCAAGACAGTATGTTTGCAAACACAACTGAACCAAAATTATTAAGAATAAGTTATTTTCATACGATTCTGATTCCACAGTTACCACTGCAGCTATGTGTCATCACAGCCAAAGCTTCCTGGTGGGATGGAGAGGCACGATCCTATTTCTGTGCCGGGTCGTGCAGTATGCAGTTAGTCAACATTGCAGTGGCTGTTAGAAAAACAGATATTACCCAATCTGGCATAAAAACTGGTGTTACAAGTTTGGTTTAGCCCTTTAAGAAATGTGATCAGAGAATGCTGTTTCCATCCTGGCTCCTCACGGGAGTCACCTGCGGGCAGCCATCTGCTGAATCCCTGTCCCAGAGAGGCAGAGGCTCCTTGAGTGGCCTATTCATCAAGACTGACGAGTGCTCACAGCAGCTCTGAAGAGACTTCTAATTGCTCACTCTCAAAAACTGAGGCTCATTGTCAGACACCTGAATATAGATTTAGGCTTCTAACTTCTTCTCGTTTTTAAAAAATGCGGCTCCAGTGCTGAGCTAGTTAATGGTAGTAATGGAGTTTATGGCAGATGAGAGCACATTCCCAGGTGTACTTCGATTAGTGTCTTTGTAATTTGATGTGAAAGGACTGGGAATTTGGGGGAGAGAGGAGTTGATTTGCTCTTTTAAAAAATTGTCACAGAACAGTTTTTTTCATTTAATTAAAGCATCTCTTTTAGATAAGCTTTTAGTTAAGTATATTAGCATTCCTTGAATCAGGCCAGTACATTGTGTATATATCTAAAACCAAATTCTAGGCAACATTTCCTTACAAGTAGTTTTTTCAAAACTTCTGAAAACTTTTTCCATTCTGCTCTTCAGAGATCAATATTAAAATAATATTGCCTGTCTTCTTAGTGCAGAGAAGTGTTGATGGTCTTCAGAAACCTGTCATCTGACTAGATTTTATGTTTGTTTTCTGTTTCAGTTTATACACACGCTGGAAAACCAAAGGGAGTTCTCTGCTAGAGCTAAAGTGTATTTTGCATCTTTACTGACAGTCGCTTTACACGGAAAACTAGAATACTATACTGACATCATGAGGACGCTGTTCTTAGAACTGATGGAGCAGTATGTTGTGGCCAAAAACCCAAAGCTGATGCTAAGAAGGTTTGAATGATTGTCATATTTTCTGTAGGCCTTTGGTTTTCTGTAAATGTGTTTCTTTCACAGTGTGACTGTATTAAAATGCCAGCTATCCATGAAGGTCAGGAATAGCTTGGCCCAAGTATATCAGGAAGACAAGCCCACCAGGAACAGCTGGGGAAGGCACAGGCAGGACTGCTGGCCACATATTTCCTTATTCAAATACTGTAGTGTAATCTTCCTTCAAAATGCTATACATAACATTTTGTTTACTTTTTGAACTAACTTTATTCCAAATGATCTAGCATTTATACCACACACCATCTCCATAATGAGCACACATAATCAGCTTGCATTGTGCATTCAGTGAGGGCTTGCTCTAGTGTTTTAACCCTGTCATTATCCCAAATAAATTGCAATAGACCTTGCTCTGTGTATGTTGTAGCTTTGTAATCCTTAGATTATTTCCCACTAACTGCACAACTGGGTTAATTTTTTAGCTCTTGCAGCATAGACCCAATTTAAGATTTTGCATAAAGGATGTGTGCTTTTCAGCAATGAGCTGAAGGTACCCAGGAATGATGAGCAATACAAAGCACTTATCCTAAAGCAAGTACATGCTTTCAAGAGTCTACAGGGAAATCGTTGCATTAGGAGAGTGTATGCAGCTAAGCATACAAAAATATTATATTTCAAGCAAGCAACGTTTTTTGTTAAAACCTTGTCTTTAAGTACCCTTACCATATTCGGGCTTGTTTTTTTTTTCAGATCTGAAACAGTTGTTGAGAGAATGTTGTCAAACTGGATGTCTATTTGTTTATATCAGTACCTCAAGGTAAGAGTTGAAGTCTGTTGCCTGTGGGTTTGGGTTTTTTTTAATCAATAATGCTTAAACTTGCTGCATTGAGTGTATCGTTTCATTTTGCTTTATTTCATTTCCTTTCCTTTGAACAGGATAATGCTGGAGAGCCTCTTTATAAATTGTTCAAGGCTATCAAACACCAGGTAGAAAAAGGCCCAGTGGATGCTGTACTAAAGAAAGCCAAGTATACATTGAATGACACAGGCTTATTGGGAGATGATGTAGAGTATACACAGTTGGTAAGCAAAGCATGATTAATAAATTGTAAAATCTCTTTTTATTCTGAAATTAATTCCTGTAGTATTAAGTCTGTGCATAGTTTTCTGGACTACTGTGAACTGCATAAAAATTCTGGTCGTGGGCAGGGCTGTTGATAGTTTGACCAAAACAAGTGTCTAAGCAGGAAAACAGAATTATAAACTATCTTCTAAGTGTTAAATCCAAATCCTGCCACTGTGGAATTAATTTCAATAAATCCCTTTCCTAAATTTCAGTCCATCTGAACAGTGGGCAGGGCATTTGGCTGCTTCCTTTTTCCCTATCTAATTTAACTGGCAACTGATTTTTGCAGAATGCTTGCACTTTTATTTAGCTTGAACTTTGGGTTGTCTTTCTGCCTTGTGATTGCTGCTGGTCAGTATATCAAACATCATTTTAGAGATCATTCTATTTGTACACCAGGATGAGCTCCTCTAGATTCCTGTGAGATGGCTCTGCAATCTCCAGAACAATTTATGAACCTCTTTCTGCACTTGTTCCTGTGTGAGTCAAACTCCTGAAATGGAAAGCCCAACTGGCATTGACAGGTGTTTATTTCCACCTAAGGAAATAATTCCCTACAGTGCTGAGGGGAAGCTACTTATACAGGCAGTCCTGGAAAACTGTGTTAGATGCTTCAAGTGAGATGAAGTGGACA